TACTTGGATATTATTTACTTGATCTCTTCCCTTTTGTTTGAACTGGTCCATCATGACAGCATAAAGCTTGCCATTTCACGGATAACAAAACCCTACAGGGATAAAAAGTATTCTGAATTCAAATAAACCAAGTATGCAGGTACCACAAAGCTTAGAAAATAAAACAATAATAGCACTGGAAAGGTTAAGAAATGTGGAAATACTATTGCTCTCTTTAAGATACTTACAAATGATGATAATGAATGCTGCTAACAAAATCCCATAGTTTTCTTCCTATCCTTTAGACTCTTTGATTCAACTGCACTTCTATGTCTTCTTTCTGAGGCCAGATATTATAAAATATAATCAGGGCCATGGGTTCTCCTGGAAATTTGTTTTAGTTTAAAAGTTTCCTCAGTTACTGGGAAAAAAATAATCATATCCTAGATTCTAGATTCGTCCTTCCCAAATCCTCTTTCTCGTGAGTTCATCCACATGTGCACTTACTGATCTGAGTAAATTTGGGCTCAGAGCTCGTTACTTCTCTGAGTGAGCCTGGACATAGTACAGCCACACACGGCAGAAGTGAGCAATGCAGATAGCCTCGTATGAGGAAGACGGGTACTCTAGTTAACATTTTACAAGGCACATTGAACAATATCAACAGATATTCTGGCCTCTGCCACCCTCTTCAACTAACCCTGCACTGGAGGCTTTCTATTCCTGGCTTTTTCATGTGTCTCTGCTCTCTCAGTGTGCTCCCTTTGACAGCAGCTCCTGCATTATTGGGAATATGGTTTAAACACGTCTGAGTGTTAGAACATCCCTATTGAGACTTGCCCTGCTCATCTTAAGATGTATCACAATAGTCTTCTGTATGAGATGCTCTCCTTTCTCTCAATATACAATCCGTGAAATAATAGAAACAACCTTTCTCTCTGATTATTTCTCTGTCCTGTTTATTGAGCGTATATCCCTTATTAGCCATAACAGTTGCACTCAATCAGGTGGCCCAAATACAGGACACAGCACTGCTGGGGAATGGAATGGATGGTGCCACCACTTGCCTGTGGAAGTGTGTTGTGAGTCAACAGGCCCTGAGGACTTGGCCAGAAGACAGCCTTTGCTTTCCAGAGCCCACATGTTTCCCAGCTCTGAGAAGCACATTCCTCCACACTCTATATTTCTAACCAAACGGCTACAAACTTGCTGAGGTTGAAGTGATCACAGTGATCCAGATAATTATATCTTGAATTTATAGGACACTTTCTCGAAGAGCTCAGGATTTGTCCATGACTCTGAGACTCCCCACCACCGCCCTTCCCTGAGTCCCATCAACTAAACAGCAGTGATTGTAACTGTAACTAAGACCTTCCGTGAGTTTATGAGGGCTTCGTTAGATGAAGTTCTTGGAACACTCTCCCTGTAACTCTGGGAGTGATGAATAAGAAGCTGGCAGTGAGCTCTGGCTCCTGCGATGGTTGTAATGTAGTTTGCTCTCTGCCTGAGTAAAGTGTTAAGACATGCGTCAGGTATTGTTAGAGATGGTGTTCAGCAACTGTCGGCCCCCAAATAATTACAGACCACAGGCATCTCAGATGTGCTCCACAGGGGCTGAAACTGCCTTCCAGCACTGTCTACTCGGCACTGTAGAGCAGGAATGTAAAGGATGGTCCTATGCTCACCCGAGGCTGCTAATTATACTGTGGCTCTTCTCTACCAAGAACGCATCAAATGCTCTGGATTGTAGCCTGGAAATTTTAGAGGAAAAGAAAGAAGTCAGTGCAGATTAAGGTCACCATAGATTTCCTCATTGCTTCTTGTGTGTATGTGTGTGTGTGTGTGTGTGTGAGAGAGAGAGAGAGAGACAGAGACAGAGACAGAGACAGAGACAGAGAGACAGAAAAAGACACACAGAGAGAAAGAGATCAACATCTTAACATCTTGCAACACCTTTAAATCAATGAAGGGAAGGAAAAGTGATATAAACGTGACTCCAGTCAAAATCATCTCTTCCAATTGTCGCTAAACAACATAAGGATGTCCTTGATGGTGTCACAGTGACTCCCTCTGGGGTTATTTGCATACTGCAGGTCACACATACCTTTGCTACGCTGATTTCAAGGCATGTTTTGCAAAATAACCACACAGAAAAGTACATAACAAGAGACTTCATTGACATTCCTTAAAAAATGCCTTCATTCAGAAAGGGTTGATCTTCATGTGGCTGAGAGGCCATCATTTTAGCCCAGCAAAGTTGCTTCTTATGCAGAGAAAATGAAAGCCCTTTGAAGATTGATGCATCTGTGGGTCTTCATCCATTTTGCAAGGGCACAACCACGCTGTTTCCGGCTCAGTAGCAATTTAAGGAGAGCGAGTATCAGCTTCGCTTGAGACAAATGAATCATGGTACAGAATTCTCTAGACTGCCCCTGTTTGCCCAGCATCCCAAGGTGCTCCAGCTCATTCTGCCCATATTCTGCTCCTCCAGAGACCACTGGGAGTTAAAGCTGAGCCTTGAAACAAATATGAAAACACATGAAGAGGTCAGACCTTTTGCCCAACCCATCAGCGTGTTTTGGTTAGCATGTAAGAACATTTTGAAATGGCACTTAGGGTCCCTTGGAATACTTCTTTAGACAAGTATAGCGCACACAGCACTGTATTTCCCTAAAGCGCATTTCTACCATGGCTCAGGCCCATGTACAGGAAAACAAAGCTGTCCTTTTGTAGCTTCCTGGCCCAGGTCCCTAATGACACTTTGCTTTGTTAATCTCCAATTCCTATAAGTGGCTTTTTTTTTTAATACTGCATTTGGGCTTACAGCTGTGTGGCTTTGGCACTGGGATGCTTTCTTCTAAGCTTTGTTTAAAGGCAATCCATTTGATCAAAGAGTTCTACCCTCTGACTTCATCTTTTATCATTCCCCAGTCAGACCTGGGCTATGGGTAGAATCCCGCCGTTTTTTTATTTAACATAAAAAATGATTTCATTTTCCTGCCAGAAGCGGGTCTTACTGATCATTTCGCTTGCCACCCAGCAGCCTGGAGAATCACGGCTTTTACATAGCTTGCAGTAGTGTGAAATGCCAGATCATCCTAATTAGGAGAAAAACAGGGAGAAACACCACAACATAGAACGGGAAGAATAGCAACTCTGGTGAAGTCATTATTTACATAGTCTGAGAGACAGAGAAATTGTCAAGGTAGCAGGAAGCATGTTCCAGGGCAGGCTCTATGCAGCTCAATGCACTCAGTCTCCCACCTCTTTCTTCACTTCGAGTGAGGATTTCAATTTAATCCAGTACCGCAATACCAGCAGCTCAGAAGAAAACATTGTGAATTCAGAACAGAAAGTCATCTCGCTATTGCAGTCACCACATTTGGGTTCAGAAGGTCTGAATATATTTCCCCCTAGGCATTCTTTCTTCTTTTTGCCAAATTCAAGCCATCAGTCAATATCTTCTACTTGAAAACTCAAGAGTTGATACAGGAGAGGGCAATGCCTCAGTACCATGGCTGCTTTAGATGATACCTCATGTCTTAACTTGGGTTCTTAACTGTTACCAAATGGTTGGAATGCATCGGATTATAGTCCCAAGGCATGGAATTGAGCAGCATCCAGGATACTGTGGCATGAGTGCTAACTCAGAATGTAGACATCTAGAAAATACAAGACTATAAGCAAACTGTAGCCTGTTTTATATGTGTAGTGCCCATAAAAGATATGTGTTCTACGAAAGAAGCTTTGACAAAAAGAGCCACTAAGCAGTCTCTGGAATTGTAGACACAACTTTGGCATCAGATGAACACACACGTGTAAACACATGAGGAAAAGGCACTGGTGGGTGGGTGTTTTGTAATATTCGCAAGCTGAGTGGCTTCCAACTGTAGTAAGTAGCTGAACAGCCCACATCTAAAAGCAACTGTGGAAAACTTCTGGCCAAAGAATATCAAATATCAAGGATCTCCCATCCTGAAATGCTATAGAAATACTCTTTAGCCCTAAAAACCACAGGATTGTCATGACATTTAAAGGGTTTACCTAAAAGGAAGGAAGCATACAACTGTTCTTTCAACAAAATGGGGGAAGATCTGAGTTTCTGTTTTGGCTAGAAAGAAATAGAGAAATAATTTCAATGTAGTAGGTGTTGCTTATCAATAATCTCTCTCTCTCTTTCTGTGTGTGTGTGTCACATTTACTCACTGGAGTAAAGATAGTATAACCTTTTTAGAGTTAGAGATGAATAATGAAACACACATTAATACTCATGGTTTTTATTCCTATTCTATTTACCATTTGGGGGAATAACTTATCAGTTTCTCTACTAAGTACTTTAAATGTATAAACTCATATAAAACTGCCCAGAAAAGGTGATTATTTTGTCCTAATTTTAGAAATCAAGAAATTGGAATGTGCCATGCTGGAATAATTTTTCCAAGTCAACACAGCAAAACTAGAAGGACAAGATTAAGACGCAATCCCTTCTACAAGCCCTAATAACCAAGTGGCTCAGCTATGATAAGCTTTGCCGGCTAAAAATCCTAGCAGTTGTAGCTTGCAGGGCATGTGAAATAGGGTGGTCTACTAAATCACCACTAGCTATTGCGATACCCCCAAGCTGACAGTATTCACCAGGGAAATAACCACATTTAGAGCATGAAATCTAGTATCAGTTGTTTGGAGTCTAGTCCTGGTATACTGGAGGAGGTGCTGCATTCATTCATAAGAGGTTTGACCATACAGCTTTCCTGGACTTATAAGCAAGAAACTTCATAGAAATATGAACACTGCTTTTTATAGGAATAAGAAAATTCTTAGATCGGTTTCCTTTGTAATTGAGCTCATGTTTAATTAAAAAGTACACCTAGCTATCAGGTTTTTTTGTTAAAAATTATTTCCAATTTAGATACAGAGATCCCTGAGGTTTTTGTCAACCAAGATTACATGGTTTTTGGTTTCGATAGTGATTGACCCAGAAAAATCATGAGGTATCTTAAGACAAATCACAGACAAAAGATGTATCGTATGAGAGAAGAGATTTGCATCCTCACTGACAAGGCTAGAAGAGGCTCTGGAGCCGAAAATATGAATAAACTCATGGCATTGCCACATATTCTGTGCCACATAACCACTGTTATTTCATTTTTTAAAAAATGGAGCTAAAAGGTGGACAAAAGACCCTGTGAAAAAGTTTGAAAAAAATTCTCGTGTTGTCTCCAAAAATCCTTTCCAAGTAACTTGATTAAACATTTTTTTAGTGTACAATTTAAAGCCCATGACACTTCTTTCTGGTTAGATGAGGGGTCTGGTTCCTAGAGAACATACCAAATATCAGTGTGCATCCAGTGTCCTCTACAGTATCAGACCATTTGGCTAGAGCCAGATATAAACCTCTCTCCTGACAAGCTCCTATCTTAGTCATTTTCCAAACCCAGATTCCCCAGCCTGTGTATCTGGAAGTGCAGGTCTCTGACACAGTAAAGTCAACCAACAGGAGAGCTTCTGCCCCATCAGTACCTGCTGAGAGCAAACGTGGAGGTTGCTGTGTGAAAGGATGACGTGTATGAACACTATCTAATGGTGCCATCTGGGGAGCTTGTGGAATATTTATCAAGGAGGGCCTCGTTGGAGGAAGTGGACAACTGTGGGCTGGGTCATGAGCATTAGACTCCACCCTCCTCACCACCTGGAGAGAGCTGTTGCTCCATGCTTCTGTCATCATTGATACAGCTCCCCACCACCAAAGTTCTCTGTCCTGAAAGACTATAGCTTAAACTGTCAGCCAAAATAAATCATCTCTCCCTGAAGTTGCATTTATATGTATTTTGTCACAGTGATGACAAAAGTAACTAATACGGCCTCTTGATTATGACACTCTACGTAACTTCTGATGGATGAGAATGAACCTGGGTTAGCCAAAGAGAGTCATTCCAATGGCTTTGTCAGCCTTATTCTATGACTTTGGATTTACTAAGTATTTATAAAGTTCCTGTAAAGATAGGTAACATAATGAACTAAAGTACGTACTCAATACCCTCTTTACATGAATTTGATGTGGAGCCTATAAACTACCATGTTTACCTGTTAGCACAAGAATGTAATCAAACACGTGTTTCATAATATGCCTATATTATTATATATCCACTGTTATACTGTATATGCTTTCACATGTATGTATTTATCATATATCATGTAAACCACTCTTCTTAGGAACCATGTATTAGTCTACTGAAAATATAGAGAATATGGTTTTTATAATGGCTACTTCCTAGGTACCATATATGAAAAAAGTCCAATCAGAGCTATATGAATCAAAACTTCCTTGAGATGCCACCCCACCCAAGTCTTAATGGTAGTGATTGAAAAAATAAATAACAACAAAGGATGACAGGATGTGGATAAAGGTGAGCCCTTACACAGTGCTAATGAGAATGAAAACTGGTTAAACCATTTTGGAAATCAGGACACAGCTTTCTCATAAAACTAAAAATAGATCTATCATGCGACTATGTTGGAAAAGACTTTGGTATTTACCCAAAAGACTTCAAGTCAATATATCACATTATTGCAATGAAATTATGTAACCAGCCACTGTATCTAACAACAGAGGAATGGATAAAAAACTGTAATACATAATAGAGTGTTTTTTGCTCGTTATTGGTGTAAACTTATGTCACTTGCAGGAAATGCATGCAACTGGTAGCAATCACACTAAGTGAATTAAGTCAGTCTCAGAAAAGAAAATATTGTTTGTGTTTTCTCAAAGCAAATATTGTTATGTGTGGTTCCTAAATGTTTAATCAATACATGAAGTGAGATATGTATCTGTGATATGAAAATAGATGTGAACCTGTCTAGGGGACCAAAAACGTCTAATGGCAATCAAAAGGGATGAGAAAAGAGAAGATGGGGGCATGAGAAAGATATGCTTGCATGTAGTATAGACTTCCATAAAAATGTCCTCATGTAGCACAGTACCAAGTACAATGAAAATGCACAATAAAATTTTCAAAAGAAAAGCCAAGGGAAAGAATGCTCTAAGACATGAAACTTGAGTTAATCACTTGGTGTTCACAGCAGATTCCTACTGGTGTTTCTTCTCCTTGGGGAAACAGAACAGAAGATTCAGTCATGTAGAATCATGGGCTGACAGGCCCATGGAGTTAGCTTAATTTAGCCTCTTCTATTGAAAGCATAGACCTATAGAATTTCAGTTTGAGACCCAACATGATGGGCTCTGTACATTATTATTAAGCAAGCATGAGATTTTCCCAAGATAGAAAGCTATTATACTGATTTATTATCTTCTAGAAGTCCCTCCACATTCAACTCAATTAGACAGGCAAAGAACTTCTCCAAGCAATGGTGGGGCTTGCATCAAATCACAGGAAGTGAGGGTCACAATAATGGTTGACATGAGAAGTTAGATGAAATACTACATGACAAACATGGCTGAAATCAGCTATATACCCATAGAAAGATGCGAGCTGAACCAATTACAGTGGTGTGCACTTGTCATTCTAGGTTTCAGGAGACTGAGATGTCAGGGTCAAGGTCAGTCTGGGACACATAGCAAGACCCAGTCAAAAAACAAAAAAAGAGAGAAAGAAAGAGAGAGAGAGAAAAGGAGGATGAGAGGAAAAAGAGGAGAAGCAAAGATGACTAGAAAGAGGGAGAGAGGAAGGGAGGGAGGAAGGAGCAAACAAAGAAAGGAATAGCATGCCAAGGCTGGCATACTAAATGCTCAGCCTGGTAGATATCTAGTAAGATTGATACCAAAGAGGATTAGGAATTCAGAGGCAAGGGCTAGCCTAGCATTGAGCTTATTTATACACCTGATCCGGGAGGGGAACATTTAAATTTCAGATGCCATCTTTGATTCATCTTTCAGACACAAGTATCTTCCTGAAAGCCCACCCCCAGGGTCACATCTCCTCCCCACAAGGTCTAATCTCCCCCAACAAGGACACACTCCTAATCCTTCCCTGACAGCTGTTCAACTGAAGACTAAGCATGCACATACATGAGCCTGCTGGGTGTGGGGAGGCAGTCTCGTCCAGACCACTGCACAGGCTAAGTTTCCCTGTGAGAGAAGACAGAAAGTTGGAGCTCCCCTGACAATTGAAAGATACTACCCTAAGGGATCCCAAAGTTGTCAACCGTCAAGAAACAGCAAGATCCAAAGAAGAGGGCAGCACCAGGTATTCCCCAAGCTCCATTGTGAAGCTGTGTAACCCACCAACAATTTCTGCCGAGTATGATGGTCTTCATTCAGCTGGATTTGACCTTGGCCTCCTGCGGGGCCAAAACCTTCTCCCCCATCACAGGTTAGTATTTGTTCATTCAGTTGATGAAATGGATTTTATTCAAAGTTCATGGTTGGAATCTGTTTCTTGGTAAAATGCTCTAGCAAAAGAGTCTTTTTACTGTACTTTCACCTCCCAACCTAGTCCAGAGAATCCAGTCCGGCTCCCTAGACTCCAGCCTGCTGCCAGGAGTCCTTTACCACCCAATCCTCAGTGGCCATCAGGAACACTGTTCTGTGGAACACAGCTGGGGTCCACTTTCTATCCATTAAGAACATTTAGTCGTGTTCTGCTCTATTGCTCAGCATTGGAAGAGTCTGTAGGCAAATCAGTTTTGTCACACATGACACCCCTTAAACCCACCCCACCCTCAAAAACAAACAGCCTAAACAGAAAGCCATCAAAGGAACTCTTAAAAAAGTGTGCTAAGGATGCTGAGTTTAGCTCTCCTGTAGGGGGAAACTTAGGACTCTGCCATTAGCCATGTGGCACTCTAGAGACCAGTATGGATGTGGTAATGAAAGGGCTGAACCGCACCGCTAACCACACCCACTTTGGGCATGACTAGAGATACTGCGGTGAACTATGCCACTACCCAGGCCCACTTTTGGGCGTGGCTAGAGGCATGCACAGAGGAAGGAATAAAAGACCAAGCAGCAGAGCCTCTCGCCCTCTTTTCGGCTTCTGGTTTGATAGCAGAAAACTACTTGACTCATCTGGGTTGCCCATTTTCTCTTGTGAGTAATTTCTACAATAAACAGTTACCTATACCCTCAACAAGTGTGCCACTTACCGTTGCAGCAACACTCTCTACAACTGATGGCTTTTGGCCAGGATGTACGAGGGGAGCGACTCAGTGGAAGGACAGGGAAATGAGTGTGATGAGGACCTGGTATGACATTCACAAAGATTCAGTAAAAATATTCTTCACAAAGCATACTCACGTGTAGAGATAGCTCCCTATATAGACAGCACGGGCACACTTCAAGCTATTCAAGCATTCTTAGAGTCAGTGAATAGCAGCTCTGTTGAAGAAAATGCAGAGAGAAGCCCAAGCAAGGACTGAGGGGTGTAAAAACACCCATAGTTTCACTATTCAAGAAAGGGGAACATTTGATTTCACTCAAGTAATGAAAACAGGAAAGAAGGTAGCCTACGTATCCCTTCCTCCTTACAGTTAAAATACTTAGAAACCACAGGCCATAACTTGAAGCATGAAGAAATGGTTTACCGTTGAAATGTTGGTTATCTACTTGTCGCTGTTTGCAAGCCCCCTCCAGTGGGCCTTAGCTAAGAAAAGGGGATAACTTTTAATTTGAAAGAACTTAGAATTTCACCTGTAACAGAACTAGATAAATCCAACCAGAGTCTAAGATCCCAGTGGATAATTTTAGACGCACTTGTTCTACATATGGATGAGGGAAAGATAGTTGCACAAGTTCCTGGTTTGGGTAATTCTCTCTGGCTTTATTTAATTATCCTGTGACATTCATTTAAAATTAGTTAGAAAGGTCAATGGGAGCTGAGGGATAGCTCAGTTAGTAAAATGTTTGCTTCACAAGGCTGAGGGTTTGAGTTCATTCTCCAGCACCCATCATAAAAGCTGAGCATGGTGGAGTGGACTTGTAAATCCAACACTGGAAAGTGCAGGGAGGAGGGTTCCTGGGGCTCACTGGCCACTTAATCATCTGGTTTGGCAAGATTAAGGTCCCATGAGAGACCTGGTCTCACAAAACAAGCTGGATGGCTCCTGAAGAATGGTATCTGTGGTTGACCTCTAGTCTCCTCACGTACAAGAACACACACACACACACACACACACACACACACACAC